TTTTTTTTTTTTTTTTTTGCAAATCTACACGTTTGGAGACCTCCGAACCCCTCAAAACAGTCAATAAAAGGGGAAAAATTCGCTCACGTGTGTGTTGGCGTCTAATTTGTTTAATTTCTTTATTTTCTGTTCTAAGATATTAAACAATATCTCATAATGGGTTAACGCTTAATAACTAACTTTTGTGTTAACCCATCTGACTCCGATTCTGACCACTCTGACCACGGAAATTATTAGGCTTCAAACAGGGTGAACAAAATCATGCACCACATACACAGTCTAACATCCACACATATAGAAAAAACCTCGAATCTTTTGCATATCTCGAAATTTCAAGGTGTCCTGAGTCCAAAAATGTAAAAATTTGGAAAGCGTCATTTTTTGACCGAGCGCTACACCTTTCCTCTGTTATATATAGCAGCCGGAAAAGTAAAAATTATCGAATACATATTTATATATTACTTAGAGGAGTCTTTTAGCTTTGGAATAAAAAGTTTCTACATTCTATCTTTATTAGAACTCTATTTATTGAATCTTTTATTCCGAGGTCACGTGATGCCATCAGAATTTCCGGGTCTCTTTCGGTAACATGTCCGCCCTGGTCGGAATTGGAGTCGGATGGTAAGGAAAAGTCGGTAGATTTTTACGCGACTGCACAGCCCGGGCCTTTCTCTTTTTTCCTCGAATTTGGGTCTATAATCCTTTGAGTCACAACTCCAGTTTTATTTAGTATTTCTTTCTCATTCACACATTTTTAAGTATTTGAAAATATTTCCTTTCCACTCAAATATAAAATATGTATAAAGGTTTACGGCTTTGTGAAACTTCTTTTTTGAGTTTATGCCGTTGAAATAAATAAATAATACGAAAATTTGTCAGTTTTGTTTGCACGTTTATTGGGCCACCCTTGGACCGCGGGTTGGACACCGCTGAGTTAGAGCATTCCGTTCTAAACATTATCGTATTTTTTTAATGGAGAAATCATTCATTTGTAGGTAAGGTGTCCATCTAAAAATTTAACTTATTTTAATTTTTAACTAATAGTAATCAATATATATAATAAAGGTAAGTGTACAATGTGCGCAGAGCCGTAACTAGGCAGGTGGAACAGGTGCACCCGCACAGTGCCCACTTGGAAGGGGGTCCAAACTGCTGTTCACAAGAAACTATATTTTTAAATTTTAAATTTTTCCGCCTTTCTGAAGCGCGGTTTGGCGATTACATTTCGCCTTACTTAGACCCTAGATGTCTGCTCGCCAGTGTTCCCAATTGTGGCGACTTTTAGAGGGACGTAGTGAGGTAGCGGAGACCTCAGACAAATCAGCCAAAAGTAGCAACTTTTGAGATTTTTAAATTTATTTTTGAGAAATTTAAATTTATGTTTATAGTTTTCAAATTTACAGATTTTTCTCTACTTTATAGAGCTCTCTGGCAACTACTAATATTATTACGATATACAAAACTGTATTTCTAGATTTTTCTACAGTGTGCAGAGCTAGAAATCTGTAAAGGTAACATTTTGTAACAAAAATAAATCTGCCCGAGGATTTTTTTAAAATTACTAAATTGAAAACGGTAACTCCCGAATAAAATCTTAGTCTCGAGGTTGTAAAAGGCGTGCAGAAATTCTGACATCATTTTTTGCTTTATAGTGGTACGCATATGTGGTGTATACCTGAACGGCGGATTAAGCGGTAAGCGAACTATGCGGGCGCGTAGGGCCCCGAAGGGGCTCCCGCAGTCTTTAAAATGCTACTGAAAAAAGGGATTGCGAAAACGCAGAAGATAGAAATAGTCCAGAAAAACGCTTCGATATATATAGATACATGGAAGTAATAAATGATATAGCTTTATGGCCAACAATATTAACAGATGCTATTATTGATCATATTCTTAAAACAAACCAAAAAGTATAGAAAAGGGATTTCTTAATAAACGAAAAAAAAAAGTTAAGATAATGGAAATAGATAAAACACCAGATGAAGGAAGTAACTTGACACCCGAAAAATTATTTAAAATACAAATTTACAGTGTTCTTGACACTCTATTGTGTCAAATAGATTGGCGTTATGAAAAAATGAAAACTATCTGTGACGATTTTTGCTTTCTCTGTGGCTCGTCTTTACAATACATGAGTGTTGCTGATTTAAAAAAATCGGCTGCAGATCTCGCTATTAAATATAGCAAAGATTTAAAAAAGTACGAATTCACAAGTGAAATTGAAAGTTTTAATTTTGAAGTAACGACTCTTATACAAAATATAGAAACTGCATCTCCGCTTAATATTCTACAGGCTCTTCATGATTTTGGTTTAATTGAGTCTTACCCAAATATCAATGTCGCTCTTCGAATATTTCTAACTCTTCCCGTTTCTATTGCTTCGTGCGAGAGAAGTTTTAGCAAGTTAAACTTAATAAAAAATTATTTAAGATCAACTATCGGACAAGAACGATTATCCAATATTTCTATTATTTCAATAGAATACAATATCGTTAAAAATATTAATTATGATGGTGTAATTAATGAATTTGCTGAAATGAAAGCCAGAAAAATTCAATTAAAATAAATCTTATTAAAAATCTATTGTAATGTATTTGTTTTATTATTTTCCCAAAACCAAATAAATTAAGGGGCCTAAATGCAAATTCTTGCACAGGGCACAGGAATGGCTAGTTACGGCTCTGAATGTGTGTGCCGCTAAAACTCTAAAACGAGTCCCGGTACGATCAAGGGAGTTATATGGTGTGGTAGCCCTCTGTCACCCATTCATGAAAAACATTCTCGTTTTTACCTGAAGATGTTGAAGATATAAGGGCTGGAAGTTTCGCCCTCTAGAAATTTCCAGAACAGTCCAGAACATTCGAGAGTATTCGAGACATTCCACAACATTCCAGAAAGTTCCGGGATGTTTTGGAACGTTCGGGAACATCCCGGAACATCCCAGATCATTGTGGAACATTCCAGAACACTCTCGGATGTTGTGGAATGTTCTGGAACATTGTGGACCATTCAAAGCCTTTTTTGTATGGGTGGAAGTACCCATTGGTGGGGGTATATAAAGCAAGATCCGTCGTGGGTTCGAATGTCAGTTTCTTATCAGTGACGAAGGGAAGAACTGAAAAAGAAGTGAAAATTCCAAAGTAGTGCAGTGAGTGAATAAAAACAAACAGTGAAGTGTGAGTAGTCAAAGTGATACAGTGACTGAATATAAATCGAAAATAAAGTGTGAAAACTGTGTAAAGGGTACTTGTTAGTGTATTTGTTAATAGAAAGTTGATTTGATTTATATTTTATACAATGTTCAAACTTAAAAGAGGAGGAGCTCTAATTTTCTTTTGAATATTATCGGGAATTTTCTTTTCAGCATTATAGTTGATATCGTCGACAATATTATTTTTAGTTGCCAAAATTGCCCTTTGAAATAGCCACTCTGAATAATAAGAAGCGCAGAGCCCAAACGGTTAGGAGATGAAGGTTGAAATTTGGTACACAGTTAGGGTTCATCATGAGAACGTACACTAAGAAGGGATTTTTCGAAATTCCTCCCGCGGGGAGAGGTTGTTAACAATGAAAGTGTTAACAATGGAAGTGGTTAAGTAACAATTAAAGTGTTAAGAGAAAGCGACGTGCAAGATTTACAGGCGCAGATGCGGTTTTTTGCGTTTTTGCGAGAAATCGAACATATTTTTAGACCTATGTAAAAATTTTTTAATTAGTCTGGAAACAGGGCAACCTAATTCTGAGAAAACGGGTAAGATTGGCTATAATGTAATAATCTTAATCTTCGCTATCGTTACTTTTTGCCCGGGCAATGCCGGGCTCATCAGCTAGTTATGAATAAAGCATTCATTTGTAACGATGACCATAAAATACCACAAAACAAATTCCGGCTATTGGCGCTGTTTGCCGCAGCGGCATAATTTCGAACTAATCGTCGCTCAGTGTCTAGACCAGTGATTCTCAACCACTGTGCCACGTGATTTTTGAAGTGTGCCGCCACTACGTCAGACAAATAGTTTAATCGGTTCTACCTTCCTAGGGCGCGTTTGGAAATTGTAACCGTGTTACCGGTAACTGCCGGTAGTTACCAAGGTGTTTAGATAATGTTACCTAAATAACCAACTGCGTTTAAAAATCACTGTTATGACGTCACCGGTTGTTCTGTGATACTTACCGAAATAACCCCGTGTGGGCCGCCAAATTTTTAAATTATTAAAAATGTACCGTAACGAAAAAAAGTTTGAGAATCACTAGTCTAGACGCTTGTCATACTACGATTAGAGTACCTAGATTAGAGAGTTGAGGCGCAAGTAGAAACGTTAAAGGGGCCTACCAGTGGCCAAGCGGTCTTCGTACCCTGAACACTGGGGGCCGATTGCAGAGACAAAGTTTAGAGGCCGACGGCGGTTTACAGATCGGGTAGACCGCTGTTCAGAAAAATTTCATTGCAGAGACGGCGTTTCTCGCCTGCCACGATGTAGACAGCGATTAGAAACAAGTTATTTGACCTACTTTCTAGACTCACTGGACAGCAGGTTTTAGAGGGCTTTTCAATTCGAGTGGTAGCTTTGTTCGTGGAAAAGTTTAGATAAAAACAGATATCCCTTTGATAAATGTTGTAAACGGTACGAATCGACAAAATTATTCATTAATTGATTGCTCGGTGCAAAAACAACAAAATTAAATACTTTAAATTTGTTTTAAATGTTCCAATTTCGACATTCAAATGGGTGGTGAAGACTTAAAACTTCAATTTAATTTAAATCAGATGCATTTATTTACAATTCGAGTATCGTGCCGGTTATAAAACGTTAATACATTTCCGAGTCATTGTACTGTTAAACAAGCGAGACAATTTTAATAATTACAGAAATCTGTTTATAGATATAAAAAAATGTAATATTAATAATAAAATATTTAAAATTATTCATTTCGACAGTAATAAGATGTCGAAATAATTCCTTAAAAATCTATTCCGAAGACGAATTTCGAATTCGGTATAAATTTTCTAAATATGGATTTGTTCATATTTTAAATCGTATTGGCGACGAAATTAAATATCGAAATGGAAAAGGATTGTCATTAATTGCCGAACAATGATTTTGACGGCCTTAAGCTTTCGGAATATAGCTGACGACCATTTCTGACGTCACGAAGAAATAACCCGATTGGCCGAACGACTCCTAAAACAGGGGAGTAATAGCGAAGTAAGAGCCAATGTTTTGCCGAAGTTCGTTTAGAGAACGGTCAGAAATAGACGATCGTCGTCTTTGCAACGCATTTTAAACTGCGGTCCAGCCAGCCAACGGCTATAGGCCGTTCGTTGATAAACGTCGTTTAATGTAAACTCTGTCTCTGCAATCGGCTGGCTGTCCAGTGAGTCTAGAAAGTAGGTCAAATAACTTGTTTCTAATCGCTGTCTACATTGTGGCAGGTGAGAAACGCCGTCTCTGCAATGAAATTTTTCTGAACAGCGGTCTACCCGATCTGTAAACCGCCGTCGGCCTCTAAACTTTGTCTCTGCAATCGGCCCATAGAATTGTCAGATGGCGGCGCTCGTTCGTCCGCCGTTCACGTTTTGGGCTGAATACGTGCGCCTCAACCTCTTCTTCTTCTGTGTATATCTGTTTCATATGATTTCAACCTCTCTATTATCAGAGTCGCGATACACGAGTTACCGACTGTCATCACGTGACCTATGGGTTTAAATTAAGAAATTATCATTATTTCAGTTTAATAAAGCATTTTATTCATTCTTTTATTCAAGAATATGACGGATGGATGAATCTTACAGGCTCGATAAGTTTTAAATTTCCAACATTAGTATTTATACAGTACTAAACTGTCTTTATACTGTAAAAACTATCCATTTTTTTTATTTAAATAAAATAAAGTTACAGTAGTTTGTTCTTACAATTGCTGGAGTAAAGATGTGTCTTTTATTTATGTATTATTTTGTTATTTCACTACGTAAAACTTTTAACATCAAGGCTATTATATTGAAGTACTTTAATACAAGTGAAATTTTTCTGTGTTTTAATTTCTTTTCATCCACAGTCAATTGTTGCTATATGAGATGAATGTTCGGATTTTTTTTCTTTGCCTTGAAAATACAGTGCATTCTCCCAACCCGAACTTGTTTATTTCGTTTTCTGTTAGATATTCCAGCTAAAACCCGTACCGTGCCGTAGCCGAATACACAATGTGTAAGAGAAAAAAGGTCTTAAATGTCCACAGAGCGAAAAAAACAAAAATGAAAAAAACCCGTCCAATAATTCATCGAGATTAGCGAAATAGCATTGAATTTGTTATGTAAACGAGATGTGACTACCAATGGACAAGTGGATCCAGAAAGTAGAACAAACGTTAAAATATAGGTCATATAAAAAAAGAAAAAAAACTCAAGCCATGCGATAAGTAATTTTATATATGAAGGTAGTAAATTATAAAATAAGTGCGTTATGTTTAACTTATTTAAATACAATTTGCATATCTAAAGACAAATTCACTGATTTTAAAAACAAATCTTGATCTCCTTCAATTAAACTGGGATTAACCAAGGATAAAATAAATTCTATAAAAATTGTATTAATAATTTGTTTATTTACAAAATTCTTATACATGCGAGTTACTTTTTATGCATGAAAGAAAGTGAATAATTAAGCTGTTTCATAAATCATTCATAAATCATTTACATAAAAAGTTATTTTATCGCTATTATATCGATTATTATAATATTTATAATTCTTATTTTAGTTTTTTTAAAATTTAATCTTGAATTTCTGGTTTAATAAAATCATAATACAAATTTACAAGGACAAATAACAGGAAATTATATTAAGTTATTCATTGAAAGTGAATAAATTGAAAATGAAATGGCACTAATATATAATTAAGATTTTTTTATTAATCATTAAAATTTTAATGATTTTTTAGCTGTGTTTTCCTTTATTTTATCCTGAAAATGATAACTTCTATTAATTTAATGAAAATTTTATAGATTAAAATATTAAACTATTGAATTTATTTACCATAAACCAACCAGTTATTATTCCCAGTGACATCCCTCCAACAACATCCCACCAATGATGACGATGGTCATAAATACGAGTTATACAGCAACCCAGAGTCCATAGGAGAAACGATAGAAAAATTAACCAATACAAGTGATTTATCTTTATCCGTTTGCAATATTTCTGAAAAAAAAATTTAAAAATTAATGCAAAGAATGATACTCGCATATAAAATCATTTTACTTTAACTTACTTTAAGAAAAACCAGAGCAAAACAAGAAAGTGAGGAATGTCCGGAGGGAAACGATTTATATATATCTGAATGAACTAGATGAGAGGATCCAGTGCAGATGAATTGAGAAATGGTGTCGCTAAAAATAAAGTATGAAATATATAAAGCCAAAAACATCATTGCTGAGATATAATTAGGAATATTTTACCTTATCGAGCAATTTATATTTGACCATTCTGGCATACACGTGTGTAAAAAATGGGGACGAAGTCCCGTAACATAATGTTTCAGCACTTCTGTTATAGCATATACGTAAAGGAATCCTATCAGATAATATTTGATACTGGATTTGACAACTCTCTGCGTTGAAGGATAATTTAACTCGTTTAAAATAATCTAAAGTATAAGACAAAAACCTGTTACTTGATGAAATTTAAAGTGAAATAAAATTAAAATATATAACACGTACTACTGTTGTAGGAAAAAATAGTAAAATAGTGAATAATTGGATGGGAGTTATAGTATCTCCTAGATAAGGATATCGAATGGAATCATCGTTACACGAAAAACCTTTCTTCGATTTTGGTATCACTCCACTTATTGATAAGAGAAGAAAAGTTGCAACTATAAATAAACACTTCATTAGATTAAAAAAATATTTAACTTTAAATAATTACTTTGATTAAAACATTGAAAATGTAAGACGAATTGAAATAAGAAAACTTTGAAGTCAGGGCTGGACTTAGATTTGTTTTGGCAATAATCTATAATAAATAGTGGGCCTTCCCCTCAACACATGTAAAAATGTGAGGAGGCCCTAAGCCAGTATTGGCAAATCCTTGATGCAGTAATTCGCGCGACGACTTTAGGCTGTCGGCATTGAATATTTAAAGTATTTAGATATATATTTAGAAAGCATTAGCTATAATATATGCAAAGTTTTGAAATATATCAAATATAAAACCTTGCATATATTATGTGAAAGCAGAGTCCACTAACAGTAAGTATAAACTAAAGTGTAAAGTGTAAAGTTTTAAACGTCACTAAGTATAAACCTCGGATAGAAAAATGTATTTGACTCCCGATTTACAGTTATTAAATTTTGAATTTAATTTTAACTCATCTTCGGAAAAAGTTTCTCAATCTCTAAGCTATAGATAGACTCATAACGCGAGGCCCTAAGTCAAATAACTTGTTTCTAATCGCTGTCTACATTGTGGCAGGTGAGAAACGCCGTCTCTGCAATGAAATTTTTCTGAACAGCGGTCTACCCGATCTGTAAACCGCCGTCGGCCTCTAAACGTCTCTGCAATCGGCCCTGAAAGTTTAGTGAGTGGACACTCTTCTGCCAGGGAAAGTTTCTTAGTTCAGTCATCTAGCTTTAAGTGCCTAGTCACAAGCTTGCCCATATATCAAATGCATATCAGCATATTCCAAAAACATAAATTCAGACTTCAGACATTATTTAAAAAAAAAAAAAAAAAATCTANCAAAGTTTAGATGGCCTTACCTTTTAGTATAGCCTATAAAAAGTAAGTAGAGGGAAAAGAGAAGAGTAAGGAATTAAGTGGAAAAAGGGAAAATGGAGTATAAGAAAATTAGTAAAGGAGGAAGTTCATGGTTGTCGCAGGTACCAAAAAATGTAAAATAGTTGAAACAAAAACATATAATAAAAAATACACAAACAATAAGACAACAACAACGCGAAATCACAAAGCAAAATTGGATATTACATTACAGTGTAAATGCGCGTACATTACTAGCAATGAAAACTAACATTTTGAGGTGTTTCCCCAGTGTAATGTATACACTTATGATAACACACATATTCCTTCAAATACTCCAACAGTGTGAACATAATAAAAGGAGAAATAACAATGAAATTGCGTTAACAAAACCAGTGACGCAGATTGACAGTTGGAGGTGCTTTCCCGTTTGGTGAACAACACTTAGCATGCTAGAATACATACAAATATACCTCCGATTAATCTATCACAATAAGGCATAAAGAAAAGGAATACAGTGTGTCTTCGCGTACATTACCAAAAATTCAGTCTAATAAGTAAGTATTGAAGATGCTTCACTCGTTCGATGTGGAACACGTGGCTTTTGCGAAAGAGGTGAGGGCTTCAAAGGTAATCTTTTTCCTAAAGATGTCCTCCATCTTGCAGGGTCAGTGAAGCCCACAGTTTAAGATAATGTGCACAAGTTGTTGCCGTGCTGTCTTGTGTTTCACACAAAGAAATACCATGTGGGTAGGAGTGTCCTCTTCTTGGATGGGGCAGTCGCAGAGACTTGAATCCTTCCCCAGGTAACGGAGAAGGTAGAAGGTAAAGTTCCCATGACCTGTGAGCAGCTGAGTTATTCCACAATCTGGGTCTTGTTCTCTGTGGAATTTGCGTTTGGCTTTGCGCAAACTCTGGCTGAAGCGAAGGTTGCTGAGGACAGAATTCCACCACTAAAATTTGGTTGCATTAGTTTCAGAAATAGTGGTTGCCTCGTAGGCATATTGTAAGATTTTGTTCAGGTTGTCTATAAGCCGATCCAAATCAGAAGTGGTTTCAATGTTAGCAAAGGGGCCATATAGACTATATGTTCATATAGGTCCCAATTAGTTTTACATGTAGTACGTATGTTGCCCTTCGGAACTTCCTCACTGAATATATAATTGTGATCACTCTCTCTGATGACATTCATAGTATAGTAGGTTTTAATTTTATTGAAAAGCTCTTCGTTACAAAGGCATACATCTATCTAGCTTCCCCCTGAGAGCTAGAGAAGATGGGGAGGGGGCTAGAGTTGAGCGAAAAGAGGTGCATTCGTCTATTACTTCCCACAGAGCCCGGCTCCTTGGATCCTCCCTGGGAGAAAACCACAGTGATACTTGGAGTTGAAGTCCCCAACAACAAACAGTCCAGAATTAGAGAAAGCCCTTATGGTGTCAGAGACTTCCTGAAGGGGAGATTTGATATTAACAGAGGAGGGATATGTATACAGAAATGATATGAAAGAAATAGTTGTTGCTGTAGATTTGAATGGTGGTGTGATACCTACTATAAAATTAGGCTGCTAAAGGATGTTAAAATAGGAATTGGCCTCTATAACTGCCGAGAAAATTTGGTCGGAGTCCTTGAAAAAGAAAGTCCTACAATGACCAAGCAGAGTCAACTTACCACCCACTACATAGAGCTATAATAAGCGTGTTTAATTCTAAATTAAAATTTATTGAGGATTGTTTGTTAACGATTATTTGGTTTATTTGGTTATGACAACGAGATCTGTTGAGGGGATGCCTCCTGGGAGGACTTTTATGAGAAATTGGCTTCTATTCAGGTGTTACAAAAGTGAAGAAAACCCGGAAAACTACACGTGGCCAGCCTGTTGGCTAACTACTACCAGTTCTCAGCGCGGCGTGATCACGCTACTAAATTATATACATAGTCATACCATAAGTGTTCACCAGTGGCCAAGCGGTTCCGTTTCCTAACCACTTGGAGTCCAGTCGTAGGTTCGCTCCTCGCCAGGACTGCCCGGCCACGTGGAGTTTTCCGGGTTTTCTCCACGTCTGTAAATGCCTGAATAGGAGCTAGTTACCCATAAAAAGACCTCCCGGAAGGTATCTCTCCCTAGGAAGATCGCCCAAATGTTTCATTTAAGGCAGTGTTTTTCAACGTTTTTCTTTATCTCACGGTACACTTAAACCTATAATTAAATTTATGCTGAAAAAATCAAGTGCTTTAAAGTTGAGTTTGTAAACATTCTATCACCATTTTACTTGTCACTTAACCTCATTTTATTTGTCTATATTTTTTGTGAATTAAATAAAACAGCACGGCTGTTCCTTAAACAGCAACAGGCTACAACAATAGTTATTTCAATTAATACTGTAATTTTCATTTACATAAGAAAAGCAATTAACATTGTCTTAAATTGCATTTAAAGGTGGCACGATAATTGCGCTTAGAAAACCTTCCCAAAGCCCTCCAAGTTAAAATAATTTGAACTAAATATGGACAATTATAGATACATTTTTGATTTTTAAAAAATTTCATTTTAAGAAATAACTGTTTTATGCACATATAATTTTCTTCTCCATCATAAAATTTTTGCTTTTTAAGATTTTTCAGGACAACTTTAGGATCCTGCTTTCACACTACATATGCTTCACAGCGTTGCCGTTTTGTATAAAATCTTATGTTCAAATATAGAGTTTATTACCTTCAAAAACTTTTAAGTATGATAGAAAATACTTCTAATTAAGCCTTCACATTTTTCGAAACTCATAACAGTTTAAACATCTAGATAATAGCAGTAACTACAACTACTATATCATTCAAAATATCGAATATTCAAAGCGGAACGAGTTTAAAGAAAATTATTTAAATAATTAACATTATAGAGTCATCAGTTTCTCATTAAATGTCTTCTATCTGCTGCTGATGCTGCCAATGGCAATAAATTAAAATTACATCGAAGATAAGTTCTACTTTCGGTTTTGTGTTCTATTAATTTACAACAATTTTTTTAATAACACAAACAATTGCCCGCATAAACAAATTCTAAATATAACTCACCTCCAAATTATCTCCTATACAAGAAAAAACTTTTCAACCTGGAGATAAACCTCCAAAATGGCAACTTTGCATTTGCGGTGTTTTAAAATACTGGTACATTATATTTTTAAATTAATTTATAAATACTTAATGCAGTAGATAGCCCTCCATATAACAGGCACTGTATTTCTCTTTCTCATGGAAAAAATTTAAAACTTTTTAAATTCGCGAATAGAGCATACTAAAAGGTCGGAGCAACAAGCTAATGAATATAAATTACTGAATATACATAATGCTATTCTTTTATTCATACTTATACATTATAATAATATTTTAACACGTCTTGCACATTTTAGGTTCGTTATTAATACATGCTTTTAGGATGCATTCGATTTAACGGAATAGTTTCGGGGATAGTTGCACCTCTTTTCCCTAATTATTCGTTAAATAGACGAACATTCAATGTGGGTATTTTGAAATCATCGTGACGGTCACGGGTTCGCCATCACTGACCTAGATTAAAGTGTTTACGCGCATTTACATTCCTTACATTGTTATCGCGCATGAGGTATTTTCAATGGTGCATTTCTACAAACCACACCTATCATAAGTTATTGTATTGAAGTCATATTTATATAAATAAACACAACATCGCTTCATTATTTTAAATGTTTATAATTCTTTTATTCGCGAACTGTTTCTTATACAGGCTATAGTAAAATAGTTTCTGCTTTTAAAATTACTTATTGATATTTTCACGTTTATTAATTAAGCTTTCATTTATCTTGACTGACAAGGAAAGGCAACGAAATTACTAATTTTAAACATATTTCAAGGTTGGGTAAAGTTTATATGAAATTAATACTATATGTAATAATGAAATATGCTTGATCGTGAACTGTTTAGAGGAAAAATCCCTCACTAAAAGTTATTTTAAAAATGTTTTGTAAAGAAAAGAAAGGAGTGTCAAACGTGGAATTCGACCTCTCATTCCGACGGCTATACAAACATACGTATTTTTACAACTCGTTCGTGAATGCAGCTCTCAATATTTATGCCAGGGTTTTCAAAACCCTTCACTTTGAGTTATGAGCGGAAACCGCGA